ATGTTTTATCCAAAACCTTTTTGTCTAGACCAATGTCATGAAGTGTTCCTGCTACACCTTCTACTGATATTTTTCTAGTTTCACATTTTATATCTAAGTATTTAATTAATTTGAAGTTGAGTTTTGTATATGAAGATAGATATTGGTCTAATTTCATTCTTCACCACATGGTTGTCTAGTTATCTCAGCACCAAATATATGTTCTTGGTGCCATTGTCAAAAATTATCTGACTATATATGCATGGATTTTGTTCTGGGTTCTCTGTTCTGCTTCATTGGTCTATGTGTATGTTACCTTGCAAGTACCAAGCTGTTTTAGTTCATATAGCTTTAAATTTTTATTTTCTCCCTACTTTTGTGAAGATTGTCATGGTATTGTGATAGGTATTGCACTCTGTAGATCATTTTCAGTAGCATGGACATGATAAATAAAATGATTTTTCTAGCCCATAAACATAATCATTTTTGTATCTCTTCAATTTATTTAATCAGTATTTTATTGTTTTTATTAAACTTTTTATAACCACTTCCTTGGTAAAATTTGTTCTTAAGTATTTTCTTCATAGCTATTATATATGAAAAAAAAATTTTTTGGAGAGGTTTTTGCTATAGGGTGCATGCACTCGCCAGACAGACAGAGAGAGACAGAGAGACAGAAAGCGAGAAATCGTCCCCCAGAGGGGATGGTCATGCCGCAATCCCTTCTCCTCCATTCTCCTCTCGGGATCTTGGGCATGCACGCACACGCACCTGGCATGAGTTTTTAAGCCACCGGGTCCAGGATGCAACATAGCCATTACACTAACTGCTGGTTCCCTATATGTGAAAATTTTAATATTTCTTTTTCAGTTATTTTGTTATGTGTGTATAAAAATGTTACTGATTGTTGTTTTCTGTTTTTGACCCAAATACTTACTGAATTTGTTTATCAGTTCTATTGATTATTTTATGGATATATATATATATATATATATATCCATCTTGTCTGCAAAGAGGGACAATTTGACATGCTCCTTTCTTGTTTGTCCTATATTTTGTGTCCCTTCCTTATTATTCTGGCTAGGACTGTCAGTACTATGCTCAATAAAAGTAATAAATGTAAATGTGAGCATCTTTGTCTTGTCCCAGTTTTTAAAAAAATGACTTTTATCTTTTTATCTTTTCTCTATTTAGTATGATGTCATCTGTAGTTTGCCATATATCTCCTATATTGTGTTAAGGTACATTCCTTCTATACCTAATTTTTTAGTATCATTATCATAAAATGATATCAAATTTTTTTAGAAATTTTTTGCTATAGGGTTTGTGGGCTCACAGAGAGACAGAGAGAGAAAGTAAGAAATCACCCACTGGTGGGATAATCATTTTGCAATCCCTTTTCTTTCTTTCTCCTCTCTGGATTTTGGGCATGAGTTTTAAGCCACTGGTCCAGAACTCACACTGAAGTAGACTATGTGAGAATCCAACAATGTAACCATTACACTATCTGCTGGTTGCAAATGATGTTAAAATTTGTCACCTGTTAAATGTTTTTTGAAATGGCCATATGATTTTCACCTTCTATTTTGTTGATATGGTGCACCACATTTGTGGATATGTATATTTTGAACTATTCTTGCATCCCTGGGATAAAACCCACTAGATCATGCTGTATAATCTTTTTGTGCTGTTAGAGTCAATATTCTAGTATTTTGGTAAGGATTTTGCATTTATGTTTATCATTGATAATGATCTGTAATTTTCATTTTTTGTTTTGTCTTTGTTTTGTTTTAATGCAGGCCTCATAGAATGAGTTTTGGAAGATAACTTCCACTTCAATTTCTTTGAGTAGTTTGGGGATAATTGGTTTTAATTTTTGTTACAAAATTTAACAGTGGTGTTATTGGTGCTATTGGTGTCATTTTTATTCCTTGAGAGATGTTTTCTTGATTTGATTTTATTATCTTTTAAAAGTTTATTCTTTTTTAAAATTATTTATTTAATTTTATTTATTTATTCATTTAATTTGACCAGAGAGAGATACACAGAGAGGGGGGGAGAGTGAGAAAGCAAGCCACCAGGTCCAGTATTGTAATTGCAGTTGGCCATGTGGGAGTGTCCAGTGCCTTAACCACCACACCACCTGCTGGTCCCCAAAAATTTATTTATTCTTTGATAGATAAAGAAGAAAGAAAAGAAACACTCTTGAGATAAACTCATGCTACAACCATCCCACAGCCTTTCCAGGTACCCAGGGTTATGGGAACACATTGGTGAGCCCAGCACACTCTCCTGTTTATTCACCTGTTCCCTGGGGCAGATGTCCCACTGTCCCATCTATGTCCCACAGTATATAATACTGTGTGGAGTTGAAGAAAAACCTGTAATAAGTGCTTACTTATTGTACAAATAATGTACAAAACTTGCTAATGGAGCAGAACGAAGCAGTCACATCTATATCAAGGATTGAATAACTGATAGTGACTTAGTGTATCATTCATCACAAAAACAGTTACCAGGAGTTTGGGAAAGATATCAAAACCATGGAAGACACTGTGGGTTTCAGTCTTGGTGAAAGACCATAATTAACACGGATGATTTTCATATCCTAAAATCCTGATCCAGTCAACAAAACAGGCAGCCCAACTTCAGGAAGGGCACATTTTTAAATGTGTGGTTTGTAAAACATGCCTCCAGCTTTTCTAATAATTTTCTGAAGCTCCCTGCTTTGATGGAAAAACTGGCATTTTATTTATTCTGTGGACTGATAAATCTGAGTAAAAGGAAGCAATGATGGCATTTTTGCTACAGCAATTGACTCCGAGACTTCTTACTTCTATTGAACTTTATTTCTTAGAGCAGTTTTAGTTTTACAGACAATTTGAGTAGAAAGTAGTCTCCCCACACTTACTCTACACAATTTACTCTATAACATCTTGCATTAGTATGGCAAATTTGTTACAATTGATGAATTGATATTGGTATGTTATTATTAACTAAAGTCCATTGTTTGCATTAGTTTTGTTGTTGTACATTCCATTGTTTTTTGACAAAAGCATAATGTCATGTGCCTGCAATCACAGTACCTTAAGAAACAGTTTTTTTGCTGCTTTAAACACCCTCTGAGCTCCCCAAATGATTTTTAAAATTAAAATTAGATGTAAAAAAAACAATTCTGACATTAAGCTACTTGAGAATGTCTTTTTAGTAGCAAACAGGTTTTATTTTATTTATTTTTGTTTTTGGAGAGCTTTTTGCTATAGAGTGCATGGGCTCACCAGAAAGACAGAGACAGTGAGACAAAAAGCAAGAAATCACTCCCCAGGGGGGATGGCCACACAGCAATCCCTTCTCTTCCATTCTCCTCTCGGGATCTTTGATATGCACGCACATGTGCCTAGTGTGAGTTTAAGCCACTGGGTCTGGGACTTGAACCGTGATTGGCTACATGGGAGTCCAGTGATACAGCCATTACACCAACTGCTGGTTCCAATAGCAAACACTTTATAACCATTGTAAATTGGTCCAAGCTACCAGTTACTTCATGAGTCTACTCCAAAAAACCCTACTGATACCGATACCATTAGTTTCACATCTAAAAATTAGAGACCCTAGAAATAAACCCAAAAACATACAGCCAACTGATTTTTGACAAAGCGTACCAGTCAATCCCATGGGAAAAGTAAAACATCTTTAGCAAATGGTACTGAAAATGCTGGGTATCTACCTGCAGAATGATGAATCTGAACCCTCACCTTTCACCATTGACATAAATCAATTCAAAGTGGATCAAAGGTCTAAACATAAGATCTCAAACTATAAAACTACTGTTGGAAAACACTAGGGAAATTCTGGAAAACAATAGGAAGGCAAAGACTTCTTACATAGGACCCCCGAAACAATAATCCCAAAAAGAGACAAGTGGGATTATATCAGATTAAGAAGTTTCTGCACAGCAAAAGAAACAGTAATTAGTATGAATCAACAATCCTCAAATGGGAGAATATTTTTGTAAACTATACTTCACATAAGGGACTGATAACCAAAATACAGAGAGAACTCAAGTGACTTACCTGGAAAAAAAAAACCCACCCAATTAAAAGATGAAAAAAAATGAGCTGAAAAACAACTCTTTAAGCTAGACATATAAATAATCAAACAGTATATGAAAAAAAAGTTTATTATTCTTCCTTATAAGGGAGATGAAGATCAAAACCACAATGAGATACCACCTAACCCCAGTCAGAATGGTGAAGATTAAAAAATAATAATAATAAGTGCTAGTGGTGGGGCTGTGGTGAAAAAGAACTCTCCTACACTAATGGTGGGAATGTAAATTGGTCCAGCTACTCTGGAGAACAATATAGAGATTTCTCAAAGATCGATGAATAGAACTATATGACCTAGCAATCACATTCTTAAGTATTTACCCAAAGGACAGGAGAATGCTCAGTCATAGAATCGCTTGAATATTTATATTAATTGTATTATTCACAACTGCTAACACATGGAACCAACCAAAATGTCCATGAACAGATGAATGGATTAAAAAATTGTGACACACATACTCTGTGTAATACTACTGTCATAAATAAATAAATAAATAAATAAATAAACAAGACCATGACTTCAGATAGAAAGTGGAAAAATATGGAAAATTTACTGCTGAGTGAAGCAAGCCAGGCTATGAAAGAGAGATATTGTGCATCTCCACTTAATATATACTGACTGCACTCTATTGCATAAACTGAAAGATTTAAGGATATAAAAACATGGAAAATGGTTATGGATACTGGAGAAAGAGTGAGATAATGGGCAGAGTCTGAGAAAAGACATTAAGGAGAAAAATAGACAGGGAAGACATTTATGGGACACAGAGAAGAAGTATTATCAGTTGATGATAACATGTATAGTATCCTCAACTGGACTGTTGTTAAGTGTATTCATGTTGGGAAAACTTATTTTACAAGTTAAGTGATGTAGAATGATTGAATGTATAAATTAAATTAAAATACATTTTGATTTTTAATATATATTTTATTTGTACAGTGAAATAAAAGTCTTATAGGAAAAGTAAGGTATTTATTACAGACTGAAATTGATCAAAAGAAAGATTACGCAATTCATAAATTATCTTTCTTCATTGGATCTTCTCTTTCAGTATATTCTGCTGTTAAAAGAGAGAAGAAATTGGAGGATTAGATCTCCATAAGCACAGTCACTGCTCTGGAATCCCAGGACCCAAGATTCCTGAAAACTGTTCAAAAACAGATCCAAGATTTCACCAGAAAGTAGGACATTTATGGAGATCAGTCAACTGCTTGAATGATGAAAAGGGATGATGGCTACAGAAAGAAGCAATCCAATCTGGGAAACAGAGACACAACCTCAGAAGGGAATCTCAATTCTCAGAAAAGGAAGAGCCAGAGAACTCTTAAGGAGATCTAGTTGTGATGCATAGGGGCTCAGGCTGGTCTAAGAAGAAGCCTGTGGTGTTGTGATGTAAAGGAAGGAAATAATCAAACTAATGGAGTAAGCTGACCACAGTAGCTATCATCAAAGAATATAAAGCTGAAAATAGGAATGAATATTCATCCATTCAATGGCCATGTATGCATTTAGAATTTATTGGGGGTTATAACAATTCATAAGATACAACCTTGGTCTTAAAAAAACGACAAAACAGTGGAGAAAACAGAAGTAGTTAGAATACAGAATGGTAAATGCAATCTCAGAAATGCCATGTACAGAAAAGCTCAGAAAAAGGTGTTCCTGAAGAAGACATGGGAGCTGGACCCAGAGGCAGATACTGAGCATGGTCACAGGTACTGCATTTCATCAGAAGGGGCCTGGGAATTAAGGTGAAATGCAGACAAGCTGTGGGAATAGTCAGCCACATGGGACTCTGCCATTACAACCCACCAGGACTTGTCTTTTATTTATTTATTTATTTTTATTTTTTTAACTTAGTCATCCTGGCTGGGATTAGGTGATATCTTTGTTTTGATCTACATTTCCCTTACAATGAGTGATGTTGAGCATTTTTTCATAAGCGTTTTGGCTATTCGTATGTCATTCTTAGAGAGTGGCTTTTTCAACTCATTCTCCAATCTTTTAATAGGGTTAATCATTCTTTTTTTTTTGAACAGCTGCTTGAGTTCCTTGTGTAGTCTCATTATCAGTCCCTGATCTGAAGCATAGTTTACAAAAATATTTTCCCATTCTGAGGGCTGTGGATACACACCATTACTGTGTCTTTTGCCATGCAGAAACTTCTTAGTCTGATGTAATCCCACTTGTCTATATTGGGGATTATCCACTGTGCCTTGGTAGTCTTATTTAAGAAGTATTTGCCTACCACAATGTCTCCCAGAGTTTCTCCAGTCTTTTCCAGGAGCAGTTTTATAGTTTGAGGACTTAGGTTTAGATATTTGATCCACCTTGACTTGATTTTTGTAAAAGGTGAGAGATAGGGGTTCAGATTCATCTTTCTGCATGTGGAAATCCAGTTTTTTCCAGCACCATTTGCTGAAGGGGTTTTCCTTTTCCCAGTGGATTGACTGGTACCCCTTGTCAAAAATCAGTTGACTGTATGTTTGGAGATCTATTTCTGGGGGACTCTATTCTGTTCCACTGGTCCACATGTCTGTTTCTGTGCGAGTACCATGCTGTTTTGATTACCACAGCCTTGTAGTATATTTTTGGGTCAGGGAGTGAGATGCCACCCACTCCACTCTTCTTGTGCAGGATTGCTTTGGCAATATGAGGTCTATTATGATTCCAGACAAATTTTCTTTCTTTTTTTTTAGATCTGTGAGGAATGTATCTGGTACTTTGATTGAGATTGCATTAAATATGTAGATTAATTTGGGTAGGATTGCTATTTTGATTATAATAATTCTTCCAATCCAGGAACATGGGATGTCTTTATACTTTTTTGTGTTATTTTTAATTTCTTTTTTTTTTAGTTTATACAGGTTTTCCTTGAGGAAGTCTTTAACTTCTTTGGTAAGATTTATTCCTAAGTATCTTAAGCTTTTTGTGGCTATGGTAAATGGCATTACTTTTTAAAGTTCTATCTCAGTATGCCTATTGTTCATATTTAGAAATGCTATAGATTTCTGCATGTTAATTTTGTATCCTGAAACTTTAGATTACTTCCAGAAAATTTTTCATGGATACCATTGGGTCTTCTATGTGTACCATCATGTCATCTGCAAATAGAGAGAGTTTCACATCTTCTTTTCCTATTTAAATGCTTTTTATTTTATTCTGTTTTCTTACTGCATTGGCGAGAACTTCCAGTAGTATATTGAAAAAGAGTGGAGAAAGTGGGCATCCTTGTCTTGTACTCATTTTTAGAGGAAAAGCTTTCATCTTTTCCCCATTCTGGATGATGTTTGCTGTGGATTTTTCATAGATAGCTTTTATTGTCTTGAGAAATGACTCTTCTATGCCGATTTTACTGAGAGTCTTGATCATGAAGGGATGTTTCTTATCAAATGCTTTTTCTGCATTAATTGATGAGATCATATGTTTTTTATATTTCTTTCTGTTAATATGGTTTATTACATTTATGGTTTTGCATATGTTCAACCAAACTTGCATTCCTGGAATAAAGGCTACCTGATCGTAAAGTATAATTTTTTTTTGAAGTGTCTGGATACAATTTGGTAGTATCCTGTTGAGAATATTTACATCTATATTCATCAGAGATATTGGTCTATAGTTATTCTTCCTTGTCCTGTCCTTATCTGGTTTAAAGATAAGGTTGATGGTGGCCTCATAGAATGAATTAGGGAGAGTTTCACCCTTTTGGATCTTTAGAAATAACTCGAGCAATATGAGGGTTAACTCATCTTTGAAAGTTTTGTAGAATTCATAGGTGAAGCCATCGGGACCAGGTCTTTTCTTTGTTGAGAGGTTGTTCATTACCGATTAGATCTCCTGACTTGTTATGGGTATATTCAGACTTTCTACATTTTCCTGGCTCAATCTTGGTAGATTATATGTATCCAGGAATTTGTCCACCTCATCCAGGTTTTCTAATTTCTTGGCATATAGTTTTTCATAGTATCCTCTAATAATGTTATGTATTTCTACTACATCTGTGGTTATATTGCCTGCTTCATTGCAAATTTGATTTACCTGTTTCCTTTCTCTCTCCTTCTTAATAAGTCTCACTAGAGGTCTATAGATTTTCTTTATATTTTCAAAGAACCAGTTTTTACTTTCATTTATTTTCTGTACAGTTCATTTATTTTCTATTTCATTTATTTTTGCTTGTATCTTTATTATTTCCTTTCTACTGGAGTTTTTGGATTTTTTTTTTTGCTGTTTCTTTTCCAATTCTCTGAGGCACATTGTTAGATGACCCATTTGCCTTCTTTCCATCTTCTTTTTATGTACACTAATTGCTATAAACTTCCCTCTTATGACTACTTTAGCAGTGCCACAAAGATTATGGAAACTCATGACCTAGTTGTGATTGATTTCCATGAATCTTTTGATCTCAGTCTTTATTTCTTCCATAGTTGAGAAGTCATTCAGAAGTAGATTATTTAGTTTCCATGTGTTTGTGTATTTTTGAGAGCTTCTCTTGAAATTAAAATCAAGTCTAATTCCATCATGGTCAGAGAAGATGCTGGATATAGTTTCTGTGTCTTTGAATCTGTAGAGGCTTGCCTTGTATCCTATCATGTGGTCAATCTTCAAAAAAGTTCCATATGGGAATGAGAAAAAAGTATATCTTGTGGTTTTTGGATGAAAAATTCTATAGATATCTGTTAAGTCCATTTGATTTATGATATCATTTAGCTACTTTATCTCTTTACCTATTTTTTGTCTAGATGATCTATCTAGAGGGGATAGTGGAGTGGTGAGGTCTCCAACAATTAGTGTGTTGTAGTCTATCTCTTATTTTAGATCTTACAGTCTTTCCTTCATGTAGTTGGGTGCTCTTGTGTTAGGTGTGCATGGATATTTATAAGCATTATCTTCTTGATTGATTGACCCTTTTACTACAATATAGTGTCCTTCTTTGTCTCTTTGAACAGTTTTTGTTTTAAAACCTATTTTTGTCAGAAATTAGAATTGTGACTCCAGCTCTTTTTTGGTTCTCATTCGCATCTAAAACTTTTTCCAACCCTTCACTGTTAGTCTATGTATGTCTTTATCCATGAGGTATGTTTCCTTTAGGCAACAGAGGGTTTCTGTTTTTTTCATTCAGCCAGTCTGTGTCTCTTGATAGGAGAATTTAATCCATTCATATTCAATGTTATTATCGATATTTCTGGACTTGTCCTGATATTTCAGTTGGCCTTTGTTTTGCTTGCCTTTTATTTATTTATTTCTGGCTATTCATTCTTTAGTTTTCCTGGAACAGTTCTCTCTTCATGGTTTCTTGAAGAGCTGGTCTGGTGTTGTCAAATTCTTTCAGGTTTTGTTTGTCTGAAAAAATATTAATAATTTTCCCCATATGAAGGATAATCTTGCAGGATATAGTAATCTTGCTTGAAATTGTTTCTCTCTTAAAAATTTCAAAACATCTTCCCATTCTTTCCTTGCTTACATTGTTTCCATTGAAAGGTCCAGTGTTAGCTTGATGAGATGACCTTTGTATGTCACTTGTTGTTTCTCTCTTGACAGTTTTAGTATCATATCTTTATCTGTGATCTTGGAGAGTCTGGCTAAGATGTGCCTTGGGGGAGATTTTTTGGGTTGATTCTATTTTTTGGGTTGAGTCCTTTGTATTTCTTGGATCTGGATGCTTGTGTGTCTCTCTAGACTTGGTAAATTTTCTTCCAGGATTTCATGGAATAGATTTCCCATGCCCTGATTAGTTTCTTCACCTTCTGGGATGCCAATTATTCAGATGTTTGAGTGTCTAATGGAATCTAGTATTTCTTGTATATTACCCTTGTGTTTTTTGGTTATTTTCTCTATATTTTTGGTGTTTTTTTTCTAGGTCAGAGGTTTTATCTTCTACATTGGAGATTCAATCTTCAGCATGGTTTAATCCACTTTTAATACTTTGAAGAGAGTTTTTTATTTCCTATATTACAGACATCATCTTTAATAGTTCCATCTGATTCTTTCTTAGAGTGTCCATTTCTTTTTTCATATTGTGGAAGGACTTCCTGACCTTCTGTAGTTCATTGTCTCTCTTCTGTTCCAACTCGTAGAATTTTTTCACTATGAATGTTCTAAATTCTTTCTCTGACATTTTGGTAACGTCCTAAATTTTTAGAAGAGTTGTAGGGGATTTACTCTGTTCCTTTGATGGAGACATATTTCCTGATTTATTCTGACCTGAGGCTCTTCTACTTCTAGCCATTGGAAGATGTATTTATTTATGAATACCTCTTAGGAGAACGTTTCTTCGACTAGGAGCAAGTGTGTTTCCTTTTGTTATGAATTGTTGTGTGTGGAAATATCTATTCTGTTGTTTTTAGCAATGTGGTCTCAAGAAGTGTACTCTATTCAGGTGTCTGAAGAGCAGTATCTCCTCATTCACAGGTGGTTCAGTACAGGGGAGGATTCCAGAGAACCTTACAATACTAGGGAATTTCAGAACTGTGATTCTAGACCTGTGTATATTTCACCAGGGTCCTAGAGATGGAACTGGGGCTCTCCTGCAGAGCAAGGGTCAGTCTGTCTAGGGGGTTGGGTTCTGGTCTTGAGAGCCTGGAAGTGGGGTGGAGGGCATTAGTGCCCCTGCCTCAATGTACCTTGCTGGCCAGGAGTCTAGAGATGGAACTGGAGCTCTCATGCAGAGCAAGGGACAGTCTGTCTAGGGGGTTGGGTTCTGGTCTTGGGAGCCTGGAAGTGGGGCAGGGGGCAGTGGTGCCCCTGCCTCAATGCCCCTTGCTGGCCAGGGGCCAAGAGATGGAACTCGCTGATGCAGTTTCTTTTCAGGACAATAAAATCTTAGTCCCCATCAACATTATCTACCATCTCTCACTCCATCTCCAGGGGCTCCATATTTACTCTTACCTAGTTCCAATCTGTCTTCATCTGATTCTGTTACCCAACTTCTGTTCACTCTCTTTATGTTGCTTTGAACATAAGTTACTTCAGAAAGCTCTCACTGACCCCACATGAGAGTCATTTCTTATGCCATATGGTCCTGAATGCATGCCTGGCCATCAGGAAATTCCTGTTTAAAGAGCACCCTACCACCGGGTTAATCTATAAAGCCTACAAGTGCCAGGATTGTGCTCATCCTGCTCCCCACTGTCTTCTTGCTTATATAAACCACAGAATACTAAACAAGGGACCAGCAGTTAGCGTATTGGCTATGTCACTGAACTCCCATGTGGCTGACTGTGGTTCGAGTCCTGGACCTGGTGGTTGAAACTTACATCAGGCACGTGTGTGTGCATCCCAAAAGGAGAGTGGATGAGAAGGGATTGGGGCATGGCCATTCCCCCCTTGGGGGTGATTTCTCACTTTCTATCTCTCTGTCTCTCTCTGTCTTTCTGGTGAGCACATGCATCCTGTAGAAAAATTAACAAAAACCCTAAAAAAAAAACTCCAAAAAAATAATAATGACCAAGTACATGTGACTTGGTATACTTAGTGCTTGTGCTAACTGGACCACAAGTGTGTGAGTGTGTTACTGTAGAACATATCTGACTTCCTAGCTATTTTAATACAGTCTAGAAAAGAAGACACCTGATCCTTGGCTCTAGCACCAAGAAAAGAAGATCATTAAATATCTTTCACAGCCACATCCACTTGATTCTTTCAAAACTTTCAAGGTGGCCTTTGTTACTGGCATGCAACAGATGCATAATTCATGGACCATGAAGGTTAAATAGCCTAGTTTAGACTGTAGAGCTGGAAAGTAGTTAACAACAGTTACCACTGGTCCAATAAAAATGCCCTTTGTTCACTAAACCACAGTATCAGGGAGATACATACTCAATAATTTTAAAGATTTGTTAACTATTACTTTAATATCATGTCCCAAATCTAAAGAGAGACAGAATGGAATCAGGGGGAAAGACTGGAGCAAGTAAGTGCTATGGACAACAAGCTTGTAGATGTAAAGAGAGATTCTAGCTGTGCCACCAGTTTTGTTTTCCTTGCCTGTGTGATAATTAGCTATACCATCAAACTACTGTGCTACACATAGCCCCCAGGAGATACCGTCTGAGTGAAGCAGAACCCCTTGTCATACCTCAAGGTGAGGAAAAATCGGATGATGTTAGAGGAATTAAGTGGCAGTCAATATTCAGATACGTCACTCTCTTTTCATACACCTTCGTATTGCTCGCACAGTGGGCTCTATCCTGGAAAAGGCAAAAGAATGAAATACATGTAATTACTTGCACAAAGGATTAGTCTCTACCCAATAAATCAGGCAATCATGTATGGCTTGGCAAAATGATGCAGGAAAAAGGAATATACACACAGAGACATTTTTGCTATCTCTAAAGGGATCCTAGAATCAATCACCAACAGGAACAAGTGAAGGACAACAATAATGCTGCATGCCAGGAACACAGTCATAACTTCCATTTATTTATTTATTTTATTTTAAAAGTTAATTCATTTTAATATCTTTTCTATATCCGGTTACTATACATCACTTATCTTGTAAAGTGAACTTTCCAACATGTATCCATTTCACACCAGTCCAGTTGGAGATACTGTATGTCATAGAATTGGAAATGTGTCTGTTATTTTTCTTTGTCATTGGTCTATTTACACTCACTTTGCTCTATACAAATTCAGCCCCATTTTAAAGAGTATGAAATGGAAGCACCAGAGGTTAAATAATTTGCCAGGATCACAGGTTCCCCAGCTCAAGGCCTCCACCACTAAACTACACTGTCCCCTCCAAAGAATACATTGACACAGTGATGTGGCCAGAAACCAGGCAGGCAGTCGCTGAGCTCTTCATGAGATTCTGAATCAGCTCCAGGCCTTGGAAGAAGTGAGAGTCTTCTTTGGGTTAGTTTATGAGATTCATTTTATTTCTGTTATACTCACCTGGAATCCTCTGCCATGGAATTCACATGTAAAAGGATCTGCTTCAGAATCTTTCCGGCATACAGTTTTTTGCATTCCGAACACAAAAATCAGCTTTAGAGAGTTATCTTCTGGGACAGAAACCTTCGCAGAAACAAAGTGTCAGTTTGCAATATATGTGTTTGTTTGTTTCTTTTTTTAGATAGAGGTTTTTGCTATAGGGCACATGCACTCACCAGAGAGACAGAAGGCAGAAAATGAGAAATCACCCCTCCCCCAGTTGGATGGTCATACTAGAGTTCCTTCTCCACTTTCCTCTCAAGATTCTGGGCACAAATGCACACGTACATGCATGCAGTGTGAATTTTAAACCATCAGGTCCAGGACTAGAACCACGGTTGACTACTTGAGAGTCCAACAAGTCCAGATGGTGTAACCATTATGCCATCTACTAGTCCTACAAAAGGTGTGTTTCTTAAGTTCATTGTGCTAGAAATGATTATGGATCCCCAATGTGAAAAAAGAAACTGATAAAATCATCACAATGAAAGGTAAATTATCTTAACAATCACTTGTTGCCATGTCTTCATCCTAAGGGCCAGAGATGAAAAGTGATTGACCAGTCATACATATTTATGGCAAAATATGAAATTGGAATGTAGATGTGGTAACACCAAGGTGATTATTGCTTCTAATAGTTGATTAATGATGGATCATCATTGTAAAAGTACCCTGACCCAAAACTGTTACTCAGGAATTTAAAATAAGTGTAACATCTAGCAGCCCAAATAAAACAAAACCAAAAAAAAATTTGGTACCTGCAAAATGTGACATACAACCTCCCAAAATAGCATAATTCGTTTCCTTATTAAAGACCCTCCTCTTTTCTGGAGAGTGGGCTGAAGCATCTCTGGCTGCAGACCCCAGGCACTCTTTCTCAATAAACTTCCTTTTATCTTGAGATGACAGCCTTTAAGTATTACTTGCAACTGTGATATTCATTATTCACGGATATTTTGAATTTGCCTCCTCACTAACATTCATTTGGAATCTCCAAATTTATCTTTACTCTGGTTTTGAAGTCATGGACATGTGCAGAGTAGTGAAAACTGTCAGTTGTCTGACATAATGTTCCCAGATGAAGTCAAACAGGCAATGCTCTGCCTTCTTTTAGCTTTCAGATTACAAACTAGTGTGCTTCCTATGGTCTGCTGAGTGCAATGGCTTTTTGCATTTTTATGCTTTTTGGTAGTAATTTCAGGGCTAACCAGTAGCATGGTAGTTAAGATGACTGAATACTATATGCCAGCTGTGTGATTTGATGCCAAGATCTGATGACATAAAAAAAAATGCTGGACATGCATTCATATATTCCCAAAGTACTGAGAGGAGAATAGAGGAGAGGGATTGTGGCATGGTCATCCCCCCAGTGGTTCTCTCTCTCCCCTAAAGAGCTATCTTGTGTGTTCCAAAGCTCAAGAAGGCACAATGTGTCTTATAAAGAAAATATGTGTATTAGAGCATCTTCGTTTAGGCATGATTTGTGGTACCCTTTCCCTGATTGAATTTTTTAAGATAGATTTCATTTTGTTTTAATTTCTTTTATACATTCAATCACTGTACATTTAGCTTGTAAAGTGAATTTTCACAAAATGAATACACTTTACACCAGTCGAGGATACTATACATGTTATCAACAAATAATAACCCATTACTGTGTCCCATACATGTCTCGTCTCTCTATTTTTCTTCCTAATATCTTTCATCACACTCTACCCCCTTCTCCCACCCTCTTCCTACACTGTATGCAGTATCCATAACCAATTTTCACATCTTGTAATTTTTAAGTTTGAACATAGAACACAAACAATCAATATATAAGTAAGAATAAACAATGTCTTTCCTTCATAGCCTGGCTTTCTTCACTTAGCAGTAAACCTTTCATATTCATCCACTTTCTATCAAAAGCTAGAGTCTTGCTTTTTGTTTGTTTGTTTGTTTTTTATGGCTGAGTAGTATTCCATAGAGTACATGTGCCACATTTTTCAATCCATTCATGAACATGTAGGTTGACTCCATGTCTTAGCAATTGTGAATAATGCCACAATTAACATGGATGTGCAAGCACTTTTCCACTGAGGTTCTCCTATCATTTGTGTAAATACTTAGGAATGTGATTCCTAGATCATATGGTAGTTCTATTTGTAGATCTTTGAATAATTTCAATATTGTTCTTCATAGTAGCTGGATCAATTTACATTCCCACCAGCAGTTTATGAGAGTTCCCCTTTCCTCAGAACCATGCTAGCACTTATCACTTAAAAAACAAAACAAAACAAAAAAGAAGAAAACCTTAGTCATTCTTGCTGTGGTTAGGTGGTATCTCATTGTGGTTTTGAGTTCAATGTTAACGAATCATTAATGAATCAACAAAATACATTAAATTTTGAATCTTTAAGAGGATCTCAAAAACTAAGTTTACTTGATGAATTTACAAGAAGATTGTGACACAAGACTTGCAAGAACTTAACCCTCTATTTTTCCTAGGAACAAAGATTCAGTATTTTCAATCTTGTGTTCATAAAAATTTTGTACAATGTAACTATCAAAAATAATAAAAATAAACTATATATAAAGTTTTATTTCCTAAAACAATGCTCCTTAATTTCTTAATAATTCCTGAAATAAGTCATTAAGCAACAAATATAGCTCTGAGAGTATTATCCAGTCCCAGGTTTCTTCTTTTTTTAAGTCACAAGAATATATATTATATAAGTAGTGACCAGATTCAAGTTTTTAAATGCAGATACAAACTTTCCAGCAGTCCAATTGTTGCAGTAACAATATGTAACCACAGTGCTGGTGTCTCAGTTTCCAGATAGGTCCTAACAGTTTCCAAACACTCAATGTAGAGACCACCTGACATCTTATTTTTGCTTTCTGTACAATATCCAGATTCCTATTCATTTTGTTTCTAAGTCTCAAATTAGTTCCATCTTTTGGTCCTTTTATCCTATTCAGGCTTATGTAACTTTAAATGAGCCCAAATTTGGGTCGCTATATAGCAAGATGATATACAATAAACATATATTATTTTAGAGATATTTTAATATTCAGACTATTGAGAATGCTGTTTTCTAAGCTGATAATTTATTGAAATGATTAACATACTTATCAGAGATTGGTGAATCCTACTCAGGGTGTTGCTGTACCTTACATATGTTGGGTTGTCAGAAAAGTCATGATGTTTTTGTTCTATGCAAATGTCATGACTTTTCCAACAACCCCTAGTAAATGCCTTCAGATATTGGCCCACCAGATAAGTGAAGTCATTTTCCCCATTGCTATTACAAGTCCATTTTGTTTATTTTGAAGATAATATTTTAATCCTTCAATTGTGAAAGAAAATTATAGCATTGGAAAATTTTCTCTTTATGGAGAATAACATGAACAAAATTTACAGACTTAAGAAATCATTTCAGGAATTGTTGGAAGGTGAGTTATTTTGTAGTAACTATGCTTCAGTTGCCATGCTGTACACCCAGAAACTATCCATTTCAGCTTCTGAACATTTGATTTGGAACACTTGTTTGATGAATATTCAGTTAAACACTTGGATACAAGTTCTTGCCAGAAGGTCAAATCTGTGCCATTTATCTTGGAATGTTTTTGAAGACATCCTATTCCTTCTGTTAACTCTACACACTTTTGTGCTTGGATTTCCAATGCAATAATAGACAATGCCAACACAGAAGGCTTTGCTCTAGAAAACATGATCCTACAGTGACATGCCTTAAGTTGAGCTTCTAGTCTTTCAAAATTAAAGCTATTTCTCCTTTCAAATGGCAAGTTCTCTTGAAGGAGTGAATAATATAGTTGCAGAAACTGAAAGGCAGTAGTAGCATTGACTTTCCAATACACCTTATCCAATACAATCTTCTCCATTCTCATCAAATCTGAAACCGTAAACCTATATTGACTAATTTGAATCAAGTCAGTTGCCAGTGGGACATTCCTCTCACCTTCTACTGATTTTAAGGCCAAACAGAAGCAACTCAGTCCAACACAACCAAGGTGCTTGGGTTGTACCTTCATTTTAGACAGAAATCTGTCCAGTAAATTCACAGCTATAGAAAATGTCTCCGTGTCAAAGCCAAAAAACTGAGTTAAACTAAGGAGATCTTTTACTTCAAAGTCCCTTAGCCTTGCAGTCATTCTGAAGCCATTATTGTGTGCAGACTCAATTAGTCTCAAGCCACAGACCTTTGGCTGACATCTAGACTCCTGTTCCAACAGGGTCTTCAGCTGTTATAGCAGTTTCTGAGAGTCAGTTGTCAGAACCTCTATCATCTTGATAGTGACTGCAGCTCCTCAGCAGTAATCACCCTCCCTGGGCCTGCTCTCACCTCACCCCATGATATCAGAACCGAGAGGCCTGTAAAGTGAGGGAACTCGGAGGTGAGAGGGGAGTGGCCTGGGGGTGGTGAGCCATCCTGGCTGGAGGTCTCTGCAGTGCCGCCCAGACAACACTGCCCAAACCAGGGTCAGCTCAGAGCCCCCAGGTTTCTTCTTCATCAGTCTTATCTATAAATAAGCTTATATAATTTATATTCATTTCGCCAAGCATGTAACACTGAGGACTCACTCAAACTTAATAAAAAAAAAAAAAACACTGGGAATTTCTGAAGACAAAGATCTATTGAGTGCTCATTGTGTATGTAGCACCAGAGGCAGAGTGAAAGAGATGCTGTGCATCTTAGAGTCCAGAGGAGCTGCCAGCCAGTAAATGTGGTAAAGAAAATGAAATAACACCATTGAAAATAACTATGGTGTTATGAAAACAATGATGATGAAATGGTAATTGGGGTAATGAGAGGAAGTAGCTACTTTAGAGAAAGTGCCACTACAATCCTTCTTTTGAAGAGAAATTTAAACTGGGCTTAAAGGATGGGAAGGAGCCCATTATTTGAGGAAAAGGCAGAACCAATCCCTGAGACAGGGAAAAGTCCTATCCCTGTTGCTGGGCCAACATGACAAGGGGAGAATCACACACCATGATGTTGGGAGATGAGTGTCAATTGATGGTTTTACAGCCATGGAAATATGTCCATATTTCATTCTCAATGCAGTGAGGTTGAGATTTG